CACTTATGCACAACTTAAAATTGCACTTCCAGAATCATCACTTTTTGTTTCTGCTCCACTTTCATCTTTATTAGCACGTCCTCTTTTGATAACCCAGTTCTGCCATGTGTCACGTGGGTTTATCATGGGGAAACAAGGAAACAGCACAACAACATGCTTTCCTGTCTGCGTATGAACTGAAGAACAGATGTGAACCTGCTATTTACACACAGATTCGCTGACCACATATGAAAGAGCTAGCAACAAAGACTGTACTTTATGCACGGTTAATATACCATGGTGGTTAAAATATGAATTATGTTACTTGGGAAGTAGTGGTATTTAACTGAACCACAGTGCTAACGTGATAGAAGAAGAAATATGTATTTGGTCTCTGTCCCTGATTCCTGGCACCGGAGTACAGAAAATCCTTGTTAATTTCCTGATAAGGGTGAAAGTAATGCCTTTTGTTATTCCCAACAAGCTCACTTCAACTGTGCCAGAGTTTATGCTAATGACTTTTGGTGGGCTCCTTGATAGCTTCAAGATGGTGGCCAGAGAAACCAACCACGTGATCGGAGGATTATAACTTTTAGTCCCATTCCCAACCTCTGAGGCCAAGATAAGGACTGGGGATTAAATTAATCAGCAATAGCCAAATGGTTTAATCAGTTATGCCTATGCAATGGAACCTCCATAAAAACCCTAAGTGGAGGGGTCTAAGGCCTTCGGGGTTGTTGAATGCATCCACATGCCAGAAGAGCGGCACATCCCAAACCCCAGCGGGACAGAATCTCCCACATGTGGGCCTCTTCTGGACCTCGCCATAAGTACCTCTTCATCTGGCTATTCATTTGCAACCTTTATAATATCCTTTATAATAAACTAAATGTGTGCTTGGTTCTAAATGTGTCCTTGGGTTCTGTAAGCCATTATAGCAAATTACCAAACCTGAAAAGGAGGACATGAGAACCCCCATTTGTAGCCAACTGAACAGAAGTGTAGGTTACCTAGGAACCCACTATTTGTGACTGATGTCTGAAGTAGGGGGACAGTCTTGTAGGACCAAGCCCTTAAGGACTAAACCTTAAGTGGGTTCTGCACTAACTCACTCCAGGTAGTTAGTGTCAGAAGTGAATTAAATTATAAGACACCCACTAGGCATCTGCAGAGAACTGGGGAATTGCTTGGTGTGGAAAACCCACACATTTGCTGTCAGAAGTGTTGTAAGCAGAAAAACAATTTTTCTTTACATGGTAACTGAAATCTGTACATATCAAAACCGTGCTAAGTGAGGACTGCCTATACAGTATTCTCCAAAAGAGCATTTCTTAAACTATCCCACAGGAATTAAGGTTACTCACAAAATGATTCCAGAGTCAAATAAGGCTCCTTAAGAAGCAAGACACACCATATCACCAGCCCAGCCATCTGAGTGCCTTCTCTGCAAAACTACCTCTGAGCCAGGACTACCCTTATTCACCAGGTAGAGCTCCTGTCCCAGGCCAATTAGAATTCAAAGCTACTCTCCAGCTTCACAAGCACTCTGGCTTTAAAAATTCTAACCTTGCCTGCCAGACCTACTTTAATGATATCTGCCAAGTCCCTTTTGCATAGCTTCACTCCATTCCTGCCTGGGCTCATCCTATCACAAATGTATCAGAATGACAGAATGGGCAATTTAAGAAGACCTGCTGTCTGATTCCCCACTGAAATCTTAAGTTTCTCTCCAATTACAAAAACACAGAAAATTAGAAGCAGTATGTAAGAGGGAATAGGAAAGTATATTAAGGAAGGAGATGAAACGCTACCAATAAATAGCTCTGGTCTGGGGCAATTTAGTACACACACGGTCCAACACATGCCAGCAGCCCATAGAGCAGAGCAAAGTAAGGTCCATGACACTGAGTCATCAAAATTAAATAGTGCAATATTCGCTATGTGAGCATAACACATCCACCCAACTCTTTCTACAGATAATTGACATATGAGGAATTCTACCTCCTGAGCAACTTTTCTGAGGACATTCAACCACATTTCACAATGAGACTCTTCAGTTAGAGGAAAATTGTATTCAAGCAGACCACAGCATTCCTCAAAGATGGCAGAGCGGTTGCTAGTTTTTATAGGCTAGTTAATCTGTGAGAGGTTAACACTTCATCGCAATTGTACCCATGCTAAAGGTTACTTATCACTACATAGAATGTTTCTAGCATATTCAGAAGGCATTTGAAAAGAATAAAGAAATGGAGAAATAAAATAGTAGCAAACGGTTTCAAAGTAAAAACATATCACACATAAACCAGGGGAAGACATTTTTTCCATGCAGCAGGACCAGAAAACTATTTAATGAGGTAAGTAAGTGGATTCCAGGTCTAATGCATAGGCCATGTTCCCAGTGCATCTGCACATAGATATAAGTAAATGAACCCACACTTATTACACAGTCATTAATACACAAATATGATCATAACGTAAAAAATCTGTTATCTGCTATTTAATAAAGGGAATCCAAACTCTACTTTCAAACCCAGTATCTCTCATTTATTACCATTCTTCTCATTAATAACTTTCTGCTGCTTTTGGTTGGAGTCTCCAAAAAGCAGATCTTGACACCCAAATCTGGTACAGATGCTCACACGGCAGGTGATCCCCAGGAGCACGAGGAAAGGAGCGTAAAAGTGAGACAGGAAGAAGCCAGGATGACCCCTTTGCGGACATCTGGGAAATTATGTAGAAGGGGCCTGGTCCCACCCAGGGGCAAGATAAAGCTAGGTTATTTACTTAGTTTCCTGAAAGACAATGGTTGATAGCTATCCTAGGGGCATTAACCTCCCAGCATTTTCAGCCTGCTTCAAATGCAAGGTGCTGAGCTCCTACAGCTGGAGAAAGTCCTCAGGTGATGTCTAAGTGCCTTCCGCAAGAAGTCTTGTTCAAGAGACAAAGACAGAGACAGAAACAGAGAGGGAAACACAGAGAGCCAAGGGAAATAGGGTGCTGTTCCTACAGAGCCTGCTACACACGTAAAATTCCAGCCTAGCCAAACTACTATGCATACCCGCTTAACCTGTTCATTCTTTGTATACACACATATGCTTATCTTTTTTTTTTTAAGATTTTATTTATTTATTTGACAGATAGAGATCACAATTAGGCAGAGAGGCAGGCAGAGAGAGAGGAAGGGAAGCAGGCTCCCCGCTGGGCAGAGAACCTGATGCAGGGCTCGATCCCAGGACACTGGGATCATGACCTGCGCTGAAGGCAGAGGCTTTAACCCACTGAGCCACCCAGGTGCCCCCACATATGCTCATCTTCATACTCACTGTGAAAAAAAAAATACTCACTGCTCATTGCATTCCTCACCCTTCTCCATATTACTCCCCCATTGTCTCTGGGATAAACACTCAACATGTATATACATAAAACACATGTAATAAGGTTATCAGAGGTAAATAGGTATAGATTAAATAAGTAATACTAACAAGTAATATTAATTAATAAGTAATATTTAACACTTATTTCCCAAACAAAAATGAAAGAAAACTTATGCAACTTGATGAAGAAATCCACAACTGATTTGTGTAGGAGGGGAAGACCCATCACTGGACCTCAGGCATTCTCCAGAGGGAAAAATAATCATTCCTAGCAATATATCGCATGTCAGTTCCAGAGTCATACATAAAATTGATGAATCTTCAAGACAAATTCTGTTCCACCACTGAGGGCAGTCTCAGCACTGCGCTGAGCTACCATGAATCTCTTATGAGTCTGGGCCATCATGCAGAAGAATGGAACGTGGAGCAGATGGAAAGAGGGCAATCTTTTAGACAAAGGGATTAAAATATCTTTGCTATCTTAAGCAAAGTTCCACAGAGAAAAGTAGCACTTCAGGAACTATTTTTAAATGAAGTTAGAAATCATGGTGATGACTAGGGAATTTCCAGAGACTTATGCTTAAGAGGAAAGTGGTACACTAAATTACATTTGTGTGCATGTGTGTGTAGCGAGGGGGAAGAAGAGGGAGCATATAGACAGGGCTGTGGAGAGGGGTGGCTCTGAGAACGAGAAAAGAAAAGCAGCGAAGCCAGAATTGGGCAGAAGAGATTAGGTCGCAAAGAGACCCCTAAAGGGCAATGTTCAACTCAGGAGGTGAGAGCAGGAAAAGAATTACGAGCAGGTGGAGAGGCAGGCCATAGTTACACTGGCTTATCAGTTCAGCAGCCATAACACTGCACGCGGCTAAAAGACACACTTAACACCATCTTCTTTCCTTCAACATAATGTAAAACAAACCCAAAATGTCTTCTCTGACTCAGCCATCCACTCATTCAAAGCACGATCAGGACACCTGAAATATAATCATGACAAAACCAAAAAATCAAATGTCTACACTCCCAAAGCTTACATCTTATTGGGGAGAGACAGAAAAATGAACAGGGAGCCACACAATATATGTCTGGTAGTAATAAGTGCCATGGAGGAAGAAGTGTGCCAGAGGTAAGGGATTTTCTATTTTCCACTCCAGTAGCCAGGGAAGGCCTCGCTGAGATGATGACAAGGAGGAGAAACCTAGGGCAAGTGTGGGACCAGGCCCTGGGGTAGCTGAGGAAAGATGCTCTAAGCGGAAGGAAAAGCAAATGCAAGCGCGAGGCCCCCGCAGGAGCTGGCCAGCAGGCCGGCGGCACAGCAGCGGGCGAGGACAGCAAAGGAGCAGGCGGGGGCAGAGTCCACAGGCTCCCACACGCCACAGGGAGACTTCCACTGGGCGAGATGGGATTCTCTGGAGGGTTTCCAACAGAAGAGCCACCAGACCTAACTTACATTTTTAAAGTGTCACTCTGGCTCCTGTGCTAGCAGAAGAAGAGGGACCAGTTAGAAAGCTACGGCAATAACCTCACTTTACGTAAGGGGAGTGATGTGAAGGGATGAGACGACCACGATAAGCCAAAGATTCTGCTGAAGAATTTAATGCAGATTATAAGAAAAGAAATCAGGATGACGCCAAACATTCTGGCCCGAACATCTTGAAGGAGCTGCCATTAAGACAGGCAGGGAAGATGGCAGGAGGAGGAGGACAGCTGACCAGGAAGGAACCCTGGCTTCCACTGCGGTCACACCACGGGACACGATGACTACTGCTTATCTGAGCCAAGATGTGAAAGTTGGCAACTACATATTCAAGACTAGAGGCCAGGGGAGAGGGCCCTGAAGGGGATAACAATTAAGGAATCATCCACATACAGATGAAAGTTGAAGTCAGGGGATCAGATAAATGCTAGAAAAAGAGAACTACTGAGGACTAACCCCTGGAGTCCTCCAGTGTTAAAAGAGCAGGGAGGTTAAGAAGGGACTGCAGTGAGGACTGAGGAGAAGTAGTGAACCCAGAGAAACCCCAGCACAGGGCTTCCCTAGAAGCCACATAAGGGGAAGCTCACTGGTCACTCTGACAAGACTGCCACCACCACCAAGTAGTAAAGATCAAAGTCCAACAGGGTTCAGAGAGAATGAGACCTTAACTAGAGAAAAGGGGGGGAGGGGGAGGGGGGGAGGGAGGGAGGGGGAGAGACAGAGAGAGAGAGAGGGGCGCCTGGATGGCCCAGTCATTAAGTGCCTGCCTTCAGCTCAGGTCATGATCCCAGGGTCCTGGGATCGAGCCCCGCATCAGGCTCCCTGCTCAGCGGGGGGCCTGCTTCTCCCTCTCCCATTCCCCCTGCTTGTGTTCCCTCTCTCGCTTTCTCTATCAAATAACTAAATATATCAAATAACTAAATAAAGTCTTTAAAGAGAGAGAGAGAGAAAGAGAAGAACAAAAACAAAACTGGTGACAGTAAACATGGACACTTCTTTTGATGAATTTTGCTATAAAGGCAGTAAAGAAACGGGGCTACAGATGAAGGAGGGATGTCAGGACAAGGATGTTTCCTTCTTTTTTTTTTTTTTTCCATGAAGGTTATATACTATTTGTAATGAGAAAAAAATGATACGGAGGCAGGGATGTAATTACTGAAGCCATGTCCTTGAACCGACGATTCAAGGGTTAGAACATACCTAAAGATAATTCCCAATGATTTGGCGGTTTCCTTTTCTTCCTGAAGCTACATTTCCAGAAATTTCCTACATCTGAAAATAGACCGCTCCATACTACAGCAAACTTTGGCAACTGTGTTTCACATATAAACGGCTGAATGCAAGATGTGTAGCACTGACTCTTCAAAAACAATGATCATGGAAAATACTAAAAAGAAAATAATGTCATTTATTTCAAGAATACACGCATTCTGACAAAACAGATATGCTACCTCTCCTCATTTAAGGGTCCCCTCTTTCCACTGGGTGTGTATACACCTCGTAGTTACTTTTCATGGCTCTAGCTCCAGGTCTACCAAGGTGTAGAGTTATGCGTACCGGAGGAAGAGTCATCAAGCAGGCTTAAAGCCTGCTTAAGGTACATCTGAGAAGGTACATCTTAAAGGCATATCTGAGAAGCTGATCTTCAAGTCACCCCATCTTGCTAGAAGTACTGAGGAACATACTACGGTTAAGAGCAGTTCCTCAGACTTGTGGGGCAGACAAGGTCACCCTGAAACAAGGAGGCAACCCGAGAACCCCAGCTCCATCACCACCAGAAGGACAGCTGGACCTGATGGACTCCAGCTCCCAGATGGCATCATACTGGCAACAGGACACGTTTATGAGAACTGAAGGCCAGGACAATCTGTCCTGCCGCTGGGCCTCCTGCTGCCTAAAGCCATTCTCATTTGGTTAAGTTCTATCCCTTACTTCCCTTAAGGAAATGTGTATTCTTTCCCTGTGTCTGTTAACTATCCTTCCATCAATCACCACCACCCTCCTGACAATCTCACATGTATACATTTTATATTATAAAGTCTCTATCACAATAAATGTGTCTTTTCTCACAAATATTAAAATATATAGTGAGCATCACAAATGTGATTTAACAGATAACCTCTGTTTAGGACAAAGTTAAACTGAAAAAGCCAAATCCATTTAAAGTTGATTTAAAGAAAAATGTTAAATAAATACTGCATTATAGAGATAGCTTAGAAACCGTGATGGTGGTCGGGAAACCAAAAAGTCATTGATATGGTGGAGAAGAGCTAGAGAGGGTCAGCCATATCCTAACACCACGTGATCTAAAAGTTCTCAGATTTGTGTCACAGTCTTCTTCTGCTCTGTCCAAAGAAAGAGACGAATTTCCCTGAGCACTGGAGCTGGTGAACGAACCGTGCAGCAGGCCTGGGGCCAACAGTAAGGCTGAAAACCAGCACTCTGCAACTGACAGGAAGTGAATGAGTAAGTTCCCTGGGTAGGTACCACTCCCAAGGAGAGGGGCAGCCTGAACAAGGTGTTTCCAAGAGAAAGAGGTATACAAAAGACTCTGGGTATCAATTCTCTTATTTAATTTATTTATTTGAGAGAGATAGAGAGAGAGAGAGCAGAACAGGAGAGAGGGGCAGAGAGAGAAGCAGGCTCCGCAGTGAGCCAGGAGCCCTGACTCGGGGCTTGATCCCAGGACTCTGGGATCATGACCTGAGCCGAAGGCAGATGCTTAAGAACTGAGCCACCTAAATGCCCCAATTCTAACAAGGGGTTCAAGGAATGAGGACACTGAGAAAAAAACTTCACATCAGAGGATCTGATCTCTCCTACCACAGGCTGGATGCACACAGAGAGAGAAGAAGAAGAAAATTACAGAACAGAGTCCAGCACTGACTACTTGGCATTTGGACGGTTGGAGAAGCAGGTTTGAGGAAAGAATTACCAGAATCAAACAGAAAGGACTCTGCTCTCCAGTAACCATGGGATCTGCTCCTTTGATTTACAGAAAATAAGGACAGGCTAGCAAAAAAAAGGAAAAAAGAAAAAAGAGAAAGAAAGTGATTCAAGGAAACAAGGCTCACAGAAAATGAGCTTTAAAAAAGTACTGAAATAGGAAGAATGTTAAGAGAGAAATATGACTCAGACCCGTGACAAGTTAAATTAAGTAAAAAGACTCAAATTCCTCTAATCTGCAGATAAAACTATTTATACCCCAAGATTACTTCAAAAAGCAATAAAGTAAAAAGGACTGACCACATGCCTACAGTATCGTGTGTGTGATAGGTGAGGCGCTGCAGGAGGTCACAGAGAAGAAGAAAATCCCATGACCCCACAAAGCAGTCTCCGGGGGAGAAGGTTCCAATGTGGTCACCAGAGAAAGTCTCTGACGTCACTGATGGGAACTGGCCAGAAAGCCTCTGCTTCCAGGGTGCCTTGTGTCCCACTTTTTGTCACTCAGTAAATCAGTTAGGATGCTAGCCAAACTGATACATTCTTCTGACTTTAGTTCATGTGTGTGTGTGTGTGTGTGTGTGTGTGTGTGTGTCCGCGTGTGTAACAGTCTATGGAGTTCCTGAGCAGTGAGAATATCTCCAGGACCTCCAGGTAGATCCCCAGGACCATTTACTTTTCCTTTTCATATATATTAATACTACAGTATCCATAAGACACTATATAAATCAAAAGGACCACAGTGGACATCATTCCAATTTCTTTGTCAAACAGTGACCGCTTATCTAAAAACAGCTTTTGCACATTAAAAAAAAAACAAAAAACAAAACCCACACACCAAATTATCTACAATGGTATCTCCCAGCTTGAACAATGTCGTAATTTACTGCACATGATGTCAGACTGCTATGATTACTAACTGATGTTTGAAATTCCTGTGTTTTGTGCTCAAGGAAAACTCTACTTCTAAATTACAGAAGAAAAATCTTGCACTTCTTCACAAAATATTCTGGAAGTGTTTTATTCCCCCTCCCCATAATAAAATACAAATCAGGTATGTTATTGTACATTCTCTAACACTGACTTTTGATGTATTAGAATTAGCTGATGAATGCAATTTACTGCCCTGGTAAATCAGCATCTTAAATTTGCATAGTTAGTATGGTTAAGCTCACCAAACCTATACTTCAGTATCACTGTTCCTTGTGTCCCTTTAGAACATAAATTTTACAATATGACTATAGGGTGCCTGGGTGGCTCAGTAGGTTAAGCGTCTGCCAGTCAGTTAAGCATTTTGATCCCAGAGTCCCAGGATCCAGTCCTGCATCGTGCTCCCTGCTCAGCGGGGAGTCTGCTTCTCCCTCTGCCCTTCACCCAACTTGTGCTCTCTCTCACTCTCTCTAATAAATAAATAAAATCTTTTTAAAAAGTAAAACAAAATAAGAGTACAGATAAAAACAATTTTTCAAAATGTATAACACTAGAAACCTACCTTAAGGATACACAAAAGCTTGTCGAGAATAAAGATAAAGACACAAAAATATATTGCACCGCAGCACTGTTTAATACCATGAGAAAAAGAAAGAGGGAGAAACCAGATAAGGAATCCATCAACAGATAACCAGGTTAATTATGGTAAATCCACAGAACGGAATTCTGCACAGCCACTAAAAAGAAATGAGCTATCTGTGTATGCTGATACAAAAACCTCTCCTCAGCCTCCAGAATAGTTTAATGAATGAAAAAGAGCAGAACAGAATCATGTGTACATGATGTGAGCCCTCCTTCTGAGATGGAAACTCAACACTGTTAACGGAGTTTACCACTGGAAAAAAGGACGGTAGGAAGTAGACAAGAGATGTTCACTTCTCCTTTTTTTAATCTTTCTATATTGCCTGAATTTCTCACTAGATTTTTTGGTTTTATTGTTTTAAATTACTGGGTATGTGGCCAAAGGAGACATGAACCCTTTTTTATTCATCTGTTTACCTGTCTATATTGCTTACAAATAAGTATTATTCATTAAAGTTTTTCTTTAATGAATAATGAACAAAGAATGCTAATGAGCCAATTAATTCCAAAACTAGTGATAAAGGGAAATATTTAATTCTTCCTCTCTTATACAAACTGTACCACTAGATAACCAAAGAAGTAAAGAAAAATCTTCTCTTCAGAGAAGTATTCTAGCTAGTAAATAAAAAAGAATTATGTAATTAAATTATCATCATTTTTGGAACCACTCATGAATAAATGAATGCATACTGGCATCGGTCAACGGGAAAAAACATGACAAAAAGAGAAAACAAGCAAACATTTTATACCTCCTGATGGAAAACTATACCACCCACTTATAAAATGTTCTTGAGGGGGACGCCTGGGTGGCTCAGTTGGTTGAGCAGCTGCCTTCGGCTCAG